AGCACGTGCTAGGCCAGGCAGATGACTTCATGCCTCACAAGTCAAGTATTTGTTCTACCAGCTCTTTGCACAGATGCAGCTGCCAGAGCTCCAACCAAGCTCGCAGGAACCAACCTCCATCACCAGCCTCATGCCTCCTAAGAAATAGCAGGAGACTGACTGAGAACATGAGGGCCCAACTTGAAAGGTATTTCCTGAGTCAGAATTAGGCCGGAGACCAGACGAAAGTTCCTGAGGCAGGGATGCCCCCAAATCCCAATTTTCTACCCCAGTTCTGCTGCTAGCCTCCCTGCAGTGTCACCTGGCCAACTCCACAGACCAGGTATGATGTCCAAGCCTGGCCACTGCCAGGGAATGCTCTAACCAGTGTTGGTTTGCCAGAGCTTCTGTCCATGATATAATAAACAGAAACATCATGTAAATAGTAGAGGGTGCTGAAGGAAAACTTTTCTTATAGTGCTCCTATTTTGTTCCTAGCAGGGACTTTCATATAATGATACAGGTTAATATTGCATGTGGGACTTACACTAAGGCTATTTCAGATGAGCTAATTGCCAGTGCCTTAAGCAAGGGCACCAGTTGGTAGATGTTACCTCTGTGTCTAATTACTTCCACCAGCAAATTGCAAAGTGAAATTCGAGGTACTAATTTTATTTATTTATTTATTTATTTATTTATTTATTTATTTATATGAAATCCTAGAAGAACCAGAAAATCTGAAGACATGATGTTTTCTTTTCAAATTGTTTTAGGCAGGACTGTCCCAAAAAGTCAAGTTTCAGGGAGAAGAAACATTTTTGGAAGTGGGCCCTTTCCTGAGGAGTCTGCAATCTCTAAAAAGCAGAGAAGCCTGCAATTGTTCTCCCACAGAAAATACAGTGAAATCCCTCCCCATCCTGCAAACATGCAGTGGCTTAATTGTGTGTGTCTGTGTGCTCATAATCCTATGAATTTGAATTTGGCAACTCTCACATAAACTTCACTTTATTAATTACATCTGTGGGAGCAAAGGGTCAGCTCTATGAAACATTATTGCTTCTGCTTGCTTTTGAAACTAGCTAAGAGCTTTATGTTAATAGTGTAACCAAGGTAGACCATATCAAAGAAATAAATTCAGATACAAGACACAAAGAAAAAAGTCTACATTCTGAAAACAACCAACCAAACAGGCTTCATCTTAATTTTACTAGGAACTGAAGGGTTTGTTCCTCAATTCATCGAATCATACAATGGTTTGGGTTGGAAGAGGCCTTAAAAGTCTCTTTAGTTCCAGCCCCTCTGCCATGGAACTATGCATTCCTTCACAAAACGGCATAAAGGGAGTTTCCAAACTCCCCCTATTACTTTAGGTAGTCTCTCCCTACAATTACTAGGATGATGGGGGGGGGGGGGGGGGGTGTCCCCACTGTACACCCCTGAAGTAAACTTTTGCAGTCAGCCATATAAACCTTGTGTTACAGCAAAAAGGAGGTGGAAAAAAAAAAAATCTAAAACTAATTGGGGACTACCAGATAGCCACAGTCAATGGCACATTGGAGTTCAGACAGGTTGCCCTGCTGTTTCAGGGCTCAGGGTGCATCTCCTTCCCAGAGGATGTTCTAACTAAAACATCACTGTGTAGAAATCAAGGGAGGAAAAAAATCCTCGCCAGAGCGCTGAGAGAAGGAGAGGGCAGGGTTGAAGGCAGGGCTGCTGCTCAGACTTCTGAGTGCTCAGGCTCTGGAGCCCCCCGGGCAGCTTGTGTTTCCAGGCGTCTCACACCGCAGATCTGATTTCAGGCTCAGCCACGGGCAGGCAATGGGTTAACGGGGGACGCAGCACGTTAACTGTATCTGTGGAGATTATGGCATGTTTATCCAGTGTTCAGATTTCCTGTCTGAGTGTTTGGATTTCCTGAAATCCCTGCTATCAGCCCAAGTGCTGTCCACTGAGCAGACCTTTTTTTCTCTCTCTCTTTTTTTTTTTTTTTCCTCTCCCCCCCTTTTTTTTTTTTAACTTTGCTCACATGGTAGGTTTTCCTTCCTGCTCTCTTTCCAGTTGTAGTGCCTGTGTCTCCTCACCGGTCAGGACATTTATGGATGCAGATCAACACTCTTAGACTCCAGAACTCTGAGGATTGCCGTACATTGGATTTCCTTTCTATTATTATTATTTTATTTCAGTTCATTTTATCACTTTGTGGCAAGAAAACCTGAAGAAACATGCTCTTTTTCAGCTGCCCATGGGAGAATATGTTTTAGTCTGAGATGGAATAATGGCCTTGGGCTTGAGGAGCAAATCTGGAATGGGAATTCAGACTGCACACGTCCTGGTGAGTTACAGCGCGTCGGGGCTGAGAGTGGCTGGTAACGAGCAGCAGAGACAGGGACAAAGGCTGAGCCCGTCCATTCAATGTGGCTGCAGAACAAACTGCGAAAAGCAGATGGGTGAAAGCTGAAGTCGGAACTTTTTCCAAAAAAAACAACTGAAGTCCATTTTTAGTTCCTAAAAATACACGCTGCTCTACATCCCAGATAATGCCTAGGTAGCAAAATGCGTAAGGCCAGAATTTGTGAGTCCTTACTCATGTAAGTAACTTTTACTCGCATAAACAACCTCAGTGGCTTTAAAATGAGCTCATGTAAGAAAGGACTTGCAGAATGGGGCCCACTTTGTAAACTGAAATGTCTCACTCTCAGCAAAAAATAATCTGAAAAGTAAAAGGAGCATTTTCTGAGTGTCTTTGCATATTTCCTCGGCCTTTTATATTTTATTGTTGATCCAGATTTATGTTTTAAGAAGCAACCATGTGCCAACTATTTGTCCTATTGTCTCTTAAATAAGTTTGCAGCAGGAGTGACAACTGTATTCCATGCAGAAACGTTCTGGGAGGCCAGGAAGGGGCTTTCTGTTGTTGGAGGGAAAATGCTGAGTGTTATGCTGCTCTGAATGAACTGGAAAGCTGCATTCAGACATGGGGCTTGGCTTAGCAATGGTTTTAGCTTCATTTTTGGGTGTGAGAGTTCATGATGGCATTATCTGCCTTAGGTGGTTTTAGCTAACCACAGTCACAAATGCAAGGAGTTGATCAGTCTCTAAATCACTGACTCAGAATTTGAAAAGAAAAAAATCTCCTTTTCAGGCCTCTTTCAAGCAGATTTCATTTTGGCACCCATGGAAGTGTTGCTGGAGTAAGATGTGGAAGATAAAGCTTCATCACTGTTGCAACTTTTGTTCTATCCCATAGCTGGAGGCTGCTCACTGGAGCCAGTTCAGGGATTTGATTCTCTAACTGTGAGGGAAAAGTTTGATTCAGACCTTGCTTAGATGTGAGGAAACATCTATAGGAAAACCAGCTTTCTATAGTAATTTTTCTTTAGCTCTGATTTTCCTTAGACTATTTAGTAAGTCCTGAATTCTAGTGTATAATGCTGCATGTCAAACAAGAGACTTTAATATTTAAATTTTGGGGGTTTAGTAGGACAGAACACTTTCCTTTTTTTATATACCAATGAAGGGAAAGCGTCATTTTCCAAATTCTTTGCAAAAGCTTCCAGATCTGAAGTTTTAAACTAATGGCCTGATGTGCCAGCTTTCCATACAACCCTTTGAATGTGATCCTGCTGCTCATCTTCAAGGTTTACTTTGCTATCAGTGGAAAGTTTACGAGACCAGTCAGACCAAACTCATGTCTTGTCTGCCTGGGAGCCTTCAGGAATTCAGTTTTAATCATTAACATGGGGCAACGCTGAAACTGATGGCATTTTATGCACTGAAAGGTCAGTTCTTCCTGTGTATGCAGGTTGTATTCTCATTGTAGTGGATTGACTGTCAAAAATGAAGCGGGGGACAAGGATCCCCTCACTGAGTTAGACTGGACCTGCCTTGTGGTTAACATGCAGTTTGATGGTCTGTGGTCATGGACGCAACCAAACTGGCAGCAGCAGAAATGTGCTCCTCTCAAAGCTGGAAGAAGAGTCAAATGTCACCAATGACCCACGAACTGCAGAAAATACAAAGTAAAGATGAGGAGTCAGGGAAAATATAAAGACTCATCTAGGTCTACCCAAATTTCCCGTCTTTGGAAATTTTGTTGACTTTCTGATGAGCAGGATGCTTGGGACTAGGTCGGTTGTGGGATTTTACCCCCTTTTCTGCAGGGCTGTCAGAACTTTTCTGGTTTCAGCCAGGTTGGGAATGCTGTGGGAATAGCTTTTCTGGTGGTATTTTGGTATTTCCTCTTCTGCTCACACCCAGAGCAGGAAGGGCAGAAGCACAACCTTCAGCTCATTGTGTACGTGTTTCTTTTTATAAACGTGAATTCTCTGCCCGCCTCCCTCCTTTTTTTTTTCCGTGATAGCCCTTACATAGGATTTTTTATGCTTTTTCACAAAACTATACCAAGCACTAACTAGTTCCTTAATAATTTCTTGATAAGTGATCATTACATTAGTTTTTAATTATGTAAGCGCAATATTCCCAATCAGCTACCCACAACCAATAATATTAATGTAACAATATCCCCCAGTAGGGGCTTCTGCTGAACCTTCAGCAGCATGAGGACTAACTGGTAACCAAGACTTATCTACTCAGTTGCCCATGAAAATATTCTGCAAAAGGTCTCTTTTGTTCTTTTTGTAACCCACCACAACCGTTAAACTCTGTAAGATTAGACTCTTCATGCTTTAATGTTCCTTCCCTCACTCATTTTCTTTTTCTGCATCAGTGAGGAGGTTCAACTCATACGCCCTCACTCCATGTGTCCAACTCACTCACCATCACGGCTGCCAGTCCTCCTGCCTTTCTTGCTGTTGTTGGCAAGTATGGATAAACAATTTTGACAGGTACAGAGTCCTGCAGAGCTAACTTCATACACACAGTGATGTTTGACTGCTCAGATGATAAACTAAAGATGAGGAACTAAACCACTTTCACCAGAAATGTTCCCCACATCCAAAGCTTTTAACCCCTCCTTTTTATGCAGTTTTCCACAAAAAGCAAAGGATTACATTTTGTTTTATAACTGAGAAAGCAGATCACATTTGGATTGCAGCTTTAGCCTCAAGAATCCCTTAGCCACCTTGTATTGTCTTTAATCTGCCATTTTTTAAATGAAAATAAAATTAAGATGGATCCTAAAGATCCACTCTCGGTACCACTACATGAACAGCTCTGCCAGTCGTGTTTGGCAACTGTTCCTATGCTGGATTGTGTTTGTAAGACAATTTGCTCTCCAGCATCATAGTCCTCAAAAATACAAGGAAATGCAACCAAAGGGAAGTTAATTTACTTCACTAAAACCCTCTGTAATTTAAGAAGATTTAAGTAGAGGCAATGGAATTACTGAGGGGATTTGAGTTCTGTGTTTGTTTTGGGGTGTTTCTTTTTTCATTGCTGTTGGCTCCAAGTCTCTCTTGGGCTTTGGGGAGTTGCAGTGTTCCAGGGACAGGGCACAAGGAGAGGGAGGGAAACAACTATATGGGCCATTATTTCAGAGACTGATTAGCGGCAGGGCTCAGCCTAGACCACGCATTGCTCCTCCCATGTGGCACCCACGAGCCAAGCTCCATCCCTGCTGAAGACAGTGAGCTGTGAAACTCCTTGCTCAGTCCCCCGGAATCCCAAAGCTGAGTTCAGCCCTGCCAAGTGATGCTTTTAGTGTATCCTCCTCTATCTCGACTGGAGTTAACAAAATCCATGTGTCTCTGTGAGTCAGCAGAAAAGCATTCAGTTTTTATAAGAGTTAAGGGACATGGGATAGGGCAATGTCAAAGCGCAGAAGTCTTCCCCCAGCTTGGCTCCTTCACATCACACACACACAGAGGAGGTTGCATTTTCAGCTCCTATTCACCAGACAAGCTGATTTACACTAGCACAGGACGTGGCCTGTGGGGTACATGGCCACGGCTGCCAAGCAAGGCTCCTTTCATCAGCAAACAAATGTGCATCAAATGGGCATCAGCCAGCACACACCGTGGTGCTGTAGCTGCTGGCAGTTGGGAAAGTCAAAAGAAAACTCTATTTTCTTCTCATCAAAAGCAAAATGAGGAAGCCTCCCCTCTCCCCTTCCTCCCCCGACACTACCACCCTGGCTGGAGCGAGTTGATACGTAGGTATTTGTGTGGGGGTTTGTTCTCAGTGGTTAACCACATAACAATTTGAAGCATGTGGCTAAATCAAAAGAAACTGCCTTTAAACATTTTCAGGCTGTAATTGTGTTGGAGAGAGTGGAACCCCGACTGGGGGCTGCTGGCCACCCTGGGGGCTGCGGCAGGAAGCCTTGAACATCCTAGAGCAAGGTCCCGTGAAGAGGGGGAAAAAGCTGACTTTATGTCTAAGAACTTCTTGACAATGCTCTGTAGCCAGGGCCAGATGTTTCCAACTCCTGTTTCGTGTCTTTACTTGGTGTGCCAGGGCGAAATGCCCGAAAGGAAACAAAACGGAGGGAAGAGAGGTGGCAAAAAGGGGGAGAGTGTTCCGGCACACCACTTTCATAAATAAAGCCAGAGGAAAAATAACAAACAAATTGGAGAAGTTTTGCTGTGAAGCCGAGAGTTGCTTGTGACTGCTGTGTGATCCCTGGAGGAAGGAGGGATAGGTGGGTGGTGTGTGTTGGAGAGCCAGGCTATGGGAGGGAGGGCAAAGAACAACCCTGTTCGAGGGTGGTAAAATGCCTCATTAGAGCTCCTCCATCCCCTAAATGTGAATTTGTTGGACAGGGAGGAAAGGCTAGAGAGATATGGGGGAATAAGATGAGCAGTTTTGCTTGTCTAGGTAAAGATTCCAGCACCTGCATGATGCCTCAGTGCTCCTTATCCCAGAGCTGGGGGACTAATGCTAACATCCAGTTTTAAAGAATTTTGGGCTTAAAGAAGACATAAAACTGGAGACTGCAACATCTCCCCATGGGAGAAGCTGTCCATGAGACATTCTGCAAGTGGCTTGTGACTCCCTAAGATCATGGGTTTTAATTGCCATCTGATCCAGTGCATCCTCAGTCCAGGATTAGGACAGCCTTGGTTACACATAGACACAATCCTAAGTGATCATTGCACAAATAAAAGAGGGAAATCAATCTTCTTCACCCAGCTGCAAGCCTCACTTTTTATTTAGCAGGTAAAAATAGCACATCTGAACAATCACTAGAATGGTCCCTGATCTGGGAAAGTAAATGACTTTTGGAGTGTGGCCTTAAGGCTGAAAACTCAACCTGATTTGGAGAAAAGGCAAACAAGGTCTTGCCAAATCCTCTCTGCTGGTTACAGTGACTGAAGCTGTAGCCTTGTGACACGGTGATTGGATGGGATGGGATTGAAGATAGAAATCGAGCTGTACCCCAGAATCCCAGGAGGACCTGCAACCCCATGCATCCCTCCATATCTATTCTCCAGTCTGGGGAGAAGGGAAATCAGCTTTTAGTTAGTGGTTGAACAACACCCCTGGGACTGCCACCTTCTAGCACTGAATTATGATGTAACCACTGCAGGCACTACCTAGACCAGTAGCAGGAGTAGCGTGGCTGGCTCCCACTTACTTTTGTTCATCTCTGAAGTAGCCACAAGGGAGCAGGTACGTGGGGAATGCAGAGCACATGTTTGATGTCCTCCTGAAAACTACGGTGGAAAGGAGAGGAGGCAGGAGATGTCTCCTGCCACGGCTGGCACAGCTGCATGTCCTTTTTATAGCAGTTGGCCAAATGCCTAGAAAGCAATTTTGTCCTGGCCAGAACTGCCAGACAGAGAGGCAGCAGGATATTTCAGGTGCTAGGACAAGCCTTATGGTATCTAGATTCAGCATAGCACCAAACCCTTAGCATAGTACTATGATTCTGTATAGGAATATAAAACCACCTGAGCCAACACTTCAGGATCCTGTCTGCAGTAGTGGCTGGCACATATAGGATACAATAGCTGAACAGGGAGAACGTGTAGCAATAGATTCCCAGATTATGGCCCTGGCTTTCCAGGATCTCATCTGGAGGATTTTCTAAGCCAGAGCTCATAGTTAAGATGTACTTGTCCTGCAGATATTTGTAACATGGATTTGCAGCCTTTTTCCTACTCAAGCTAATAGACATTTTAAGTATCAGTTTAAAAAAAGGTTTTTATGGGTACACGAGATTGGTAGACAAAGATGGATAGACAAATTAATGGAAGGAATTTTTCCCTGAATTTACAGGTATTAAATCATTACTGACAGTGAGGGTACAATCCTACTTTCCTAGCTGATTTATAGTAGTGTTACAAACTGAATTTTATGGAAATATTCCAGATTTATTGGTGAGTAAATAAGATTATGCCAGCACCATGGAAATCTAATGCTTATTGTATCTAATTTAGAATGGAACTATATTGCTACTCTCCTTATGCATTAAAATCCAAGCAGTTCAGTATTCACCAAATTAATATGCTTACTGATGTAATCATTTACATAATGGCCTATTTGTCATTAAATGTGTAAGACTGCATTCTCTGCTGATGTAGGATACTTGCTCCATCCATCTGATAAGAGGCAGGCTGTAGTTGCACATCCTTTAATAATTATTTCAGCAGGTGTCCTTTTATTCCTGTTCATAATTAGTAGCTAAGTACTTAGCCAAGCTTGTCAGGATCAGAAATTCCTACAACTGAGTAGTTATCTGTATTCATGAACAAAGAGGACCTCTACCTTGGTAGAATAATTTCTGAAGATATTTTAAAATAATTAAGGTATTTAATACTAACAGGTATCATAATTCTACATTAAGTGTAGAGCTTTTGAATTATTATCAAACACCAGGGTATAATTCCGATGTTACATTTTGTAAGACAGGTCTTAGCCAAAACCCCAGATCTCACCGGTCATTTGTAATTTTTATTTTCTGTCTTTATGAATTTGGGGTTGAGAAGGAGCTATCATACTGTGCTATTGACCAGGATGGGGTTAAAAATCGACTATCCAAGATGATCTACAACTGGTATTTGTTCTCACTACCTAGACAAATGGGATTTGGCTCAGTGGAAACATATTTCCTTACTATTGAGAATATTAGACTTAAAGGGCGTCAGTAGCAGCAGGAACAAGGATAAAAAGGTGATTGTAAGTCATGTGCTGGAGCCATACAACAGCCTACCTGACACCTGGTCTGAATTACAGAAATCTCTAGATGGTTGAGATTTATGTTTTTCTTCCCAGAGTTCCTTGGAAGCTCGGAACAGTAATTACGGTGTTTCCCCCACAGGGTGGTATATACATGTCTGCACAGGGTATATCATAAACTCCTACACTTCGTCCCTTCCATTGCCTTCAAGCACAGAGAACAGCCTGGCTGGAAGGCTCCTCTTCAGCCAGAAACATCCTTCCCCCAAGGATCATTTCTAACATTAATTCTGCCCATTTCAAAGTTTCCCAAACAGAATAAGCTCTAAGCTTCTAAGCATCTCCTTCTCAAGTTTGGAGTGTGCAATAGGCTCACGTCCTCTGAGTCATATCAACACTGTCCTAAGCAAAGCCCTCCAACAGCTACAATTTGAGCAAGAGAGCTAGGCTTTGAAGTAAACTCCTGACACAGATTTACACCATTAGATTAGGCACAAGAGAGAATGTGACCCTAACCGGTAAGATCAGGTTTAGGCTGACCTTAAGGAAAACAAGGAGCCTTGGACAACACTTTTCCATGATGCTGGTGCTGAAAAACACCTTATAATTTAAGGGAACCTTATCTGTGTTGTGATTTGCATCCTGAGAGAAAAAAGTAACTTATAGCATGGAAATTCATACTATTTAAATGGAATTTAAATAATGCATTACTGAGAACTCTGCAATACCATAGCCTGTCTCTGTGAGTGAGACTGAAGTAATTGCACTGTGTGTGCATGTGTCCCCCTGAGACTTTGACTCCTCCCCAGCCAAGACAGGTGGAGGAACAGAGGACTCAAGAGCTCCTACACACTTTGTAAAAACAGGCAGACTGCTAGAAGAAAAAAACAATGCTTGAAACTTCTAACTACCTCCTTCCCAGGGTAAAAGCCACAACTACTGAGAGATAAAAAGAGAATTTCCATGGGAATGCAGTGCTGTGCTCACCACAACCCAGGAGAAAAACTTCCACCAGCATTTGCCCCTCCAGGCTGCCCATACGGGGCTTCAGAGTTCCCAAACCTCCTTGGTGTTCATCCAAACCTGGGTATGCCAGCATGGCTTTAGGAGCAACAACATTTAGGTGAAATACACCTGTTGTTATTTATCTGAGTGCTCAAATCCTCTCTCCTTGGGAGAAACACCTTCTTTCCATTAACTAGGCCATTAAACCACCATGTTAATGCAAAAAAAGGCATTTCCTGGGAATAATAATATCCTGACACCAATATTGCTTGCACACTAGTGCTGGCTGCTAGTACAGTGGCAACATTTTGCTTAGTCAACTGATACCAGGAGAGGACCATGTTTGCTAAAGCTGGACATTGTAGGTAAAAGCTTAAATCAGTAATTTTCAAAAGCTGATTGCCTAACATTCAGAATGTTAGCTCATAACAAAGTTCTGGGTAGATTATTTCAATGTCCTTTTGAAAGTGAGGTCAGTTATTTCAGTCCACTAATTAGGGTTTCGGTAGACAAGAGTTTAGTTCTTCCTCTGGAGTTTCCCAGTGCAGGACAATGTAAATCCATCCTGAGCTGAGGAACATTTGTTTTTATAATTAAAGGCTTATTCTAAATAAATACCATCAGCTGGGCCAGGCTGTTGAAGACAAGTCAATTTGCATCTTGCAGAAAGACACTGGGGTCCCTTCAGAAAGTGAAAGTAGATGAGAAAGAAACTGAGATGCCCAGAAAATACAGGTCAGTGCTTTTGCTCCTTAGCACCTCCAGCCACCTGCAACATAAATGAGTTTACCAGGTTAAGCAGGAGATGAGTGGTGGTCACAAACACTAGAATTGAGCAGTATCACTCAGCTCCTACTCCAGAAGCAAACTGCCTCCCAAGCAAACTGGCTTTGCTCTGCTTCCTACAGATAGAATGCAAAGGCGGAGGAACGATTACAGTGACCAGGCAGCATCTGTGTGAACACTGACAACACCCTCTGGTCTCAACAGTAGTTATCAACAGAAAATATGTTTCTCCTTTGTCCTGTCTTGTCCATGACAGAAGCAAACAAAACACTTGTTTCCCGAAAAGGAAATAGCTTTATTCTGGAATGTGCTGGGCAGTTCAGGTTCTTCTAAGTACTGAAGGAGATATATGTGGGATTTCAACACTTTTAACCCCTCCCAGGATATTTCTGCAATATCAGTTGTGACAGTTACTGCATGGCTTATGCAGCTAACGGTAGACCTGATGTAAGGAAAGCTGGCCTCATTTGTGCTGTTAATGTAGTCTTTCTTAGAAGCAGAAGCTATTTGCAAGATCATAACTTCCCTCACAGACACTATTTTTAATTGGGGAAGAGTTTTCTCAGAGGAATAATAGTCTTACTTCTGTTCACATCTGCACAGTATTTTCCTGATCAGGAGATCAAGAGAAGGAGGATCTGAACAGATGCTTCTCTAAGTAATAATGAACAGAGAGCTGTGCAGTAAATCATAACGTACAATGAAATAAAAAACAAAATTTGGCTGGAGATTAATGGCTGGAATGGGTCTTATTGAATTAAATTGGATCAGATGTTCCCTGGAAAAAAATCTCAGATAGATTCACAATGCTCTATGGTATTGGTTTTGTTTTTCACAAAGGAAGATTTAACTTGAATGTTCTGTAACTACTAACAATTTCTAGGCCTTGCTGAGTGGTCTTGGACCACTTGTGGGAGAGGATAGGCACTGGCTGGCTGGAAATCGTGGTCCCATCAGGCAGTGGAGGGGACTGATCACAGAGCCTCCCCAGAACACAGTGCCACAAACTTCTCAAGTGTTACAGGGAGCATTGCATTTTTACAAGATATGGAGGGCTGACTTCAGTTCCCATATCCAGGGGCAGATTCACAATTACAAGTTTGCTGCAGAGACAGACAACCCCAAAGCTGTGCTCACAGCCCAACTGCGCCTCTTGTGTTCCCTGTTAGGTGCTTTAGGTGCCTCCTTCTTACTGCGTCTTCTCCTGTTAACCCACTTTAAGTGTCCAGCCTTCCAGATGTTGTGTAATGTGACATATGGGCAGCTGACTCAGGCTTTTGAATTTTCCCAGGGACTAAGGCACTCTAAACCTTCCCTTGGCTTGATATTTCAGTGCCAGATTTGCTTGTGACTCCAACTTAAGCAGCAAAACATTTGCACTTCAATCACTGCTCACTGAAGAAACCGACCTAAAACTGTAAACCAGTGATGGGAACTGACACCTCCCGTTGGTGCCGGTGGTTTTTCTAATCAGAGATAACTCTTGTCTTGTCAAGATTGAGACTCAGGTCATTAATATATCAGAGGAAGGAAGCCAAGGCTGCATAAATTGCCACTAGAGATTGTGCTAGAGACACCAAAACTCTTTCCCCTTTAATTAATTTGCTGAACTGCAAGTGAAAAACACCCACAATCAGACAGATCAAAAGGCCCACTTTGGTAGGTGTGACGCTGAAGGGAGTGCACACACCTGCCTCTCACCTGCACTCAGGCATCTGGCAGATCTGCAGCCCTGGGTTTAGTGACTTTGCCTTATTAACTCAGGTTCCTTATGCTTTTGTAAAAAATGGACTTCACAACAGTTGCCTAAAGCCAGAAAAAGAGGAGCAAGGCTACGTTATTAAAACCCAGAATGAAATACCATTTTAAAATTCATCAAAGTGCTTAGAGGAAACTCTCCAGAGACTGGGGACTTAGTCATCCCAGGTTCCTTCAGCTCATTTAGATAATTGCCCCTTGAAATAGTTGTCTTTTTTTTTTTTTTCCCCCCTCTTTTTCTAGCAAGTAGGCAGCTCAGCTCCATAGCTGCAGAAGGTCAAAAGAAACCTCGAGATTTCCATCACGCACATTTTACTTTCTATACCATGAGCCAACCACATCCAAGTACATACGAGGTACTCATCTCACTGTCACTTGCAGAGATATTAGCAACACTTTCGCCAGTTTAACTGATTAATATACTGGTAAAATTAATTTCTTTATTAAGTGATTTACTAAATAAAAAGCAGCGTTTAGAGACAATAATGCGTGAGTTACTCAGTATTTTTAACTACCCTCAGGCCTGGAGACACTCAGTCTCACTGCTTTCCTACCTTCTTGAAAATTGTATGATCTGATTGCTTGTGTCTGTATAAATTCATGCTGTCACCAAGACAGGCAGCCCAAGTACTGTCACGTGAGCTTGAGTAGGAAATTGATACAAATGAAACTGAAAAAAGAGGTTATTTTTCAGCTGTGTCATTCCACTGGTAAAAATATAAAACTTACATGACAACATATAGTTTTATTGTGAGGTTTTTTTGCAACTTCTACCCAAGAAAATCTAAAGATCACTACAACTTCCCATTAGACTGTCACAGGAAAATACATCAGTATCCATTATAGTGCACCAATAGGGTCTTTTTCCTGGAGTTTTCACTTAAAAGTTTTGGGATTTTTTTCTTTCAAATTTGCTTTCTTCCTCCTAATATCTCTTATTGACTGTAGAATTAGAGGTACAGTTTTTATCTGCCCATACAGTCTTGTATCTGAACCATCTAGTGTGGTTCAGGCAGAAATAAGAAGTCTCTGCTGCAATGCACTTAGGAGATGCAGCATCTTTGGGGTAGGTGTCTATCTCTGGGCTCAGCACCCTACTCTCTCTCTTTTAGTCAGTAAAATGAAAGAAGCAGTTTAGGCTGTGAGTCAGATGACTTTGTAGACATCTACTTTAGTATCACTGTTTTAAACATCTGTCGGATGAGGTGAACTGCACCCTACTTTCACTTGTCTGTATTTACTGTATCAAAATTAACAATAAAAGGAGCCTGCAGTGAGCAGCCCAGGCAAAGATACTCTGTCAGATACATCCCACTTTTTACAGACTAGAAGTTGAGTGAGAGCTTACTAAAATAGAGGCAAAGAATCCCATTTACATGGACTGAATTTGGATCAAGCGGTTAAAGCTCTGTTCCATCACTTACTTTTGAGTTAATCTCATTTTTTATGTAGATAGAAATCACAAAATCACAGAATAACGTGTTGGAAGGGACACACGAGGATCATCGAGCCCAACTCTTAGCCCTTCCTGGGGCAATCCCATGAGTCCCACCATGTGCCTGAGAGTATCATCCAAACACTTCTTGAACTCTGTCAGGCTTGGTGCCGTGACCACTTCCCTGGGAGTCTGTTCCAGTGCCCAACTACCCTCTGGGTAAAGAACCTTTTTCTAACATACAACCTAGCCCGCCCCTTACACAACTTTAGGCCATTGATTTCAAAGAGAAAATGATCCATGCTCATGGATCTGTGCATGACTCACTATATGGGTAGATAAAGACATAAAAAACAAAAGAAGAGAATACTCAGGAACATATTTCTATACCTGTATTGAGGTTCCTATGTGCTTTTTATTACATTCTTTGATAGTTCTTTATTAAATTCTTTGATAGTTCTGCCCTCAGCTGAAGGACAGGATGGTAGTATTGGAAGTATGGCTAGTATTGGAAGTATTACTGAGCCAAAATAAATGACATTTTCACAGGGCTGCTGCTAAGTAGAAGACTGGTTCTGCTTGGTAGAAGGGGAAGGCATGAAAAATACACCACTTTGAAGAGCAGAGCAGTACCAAGACGAGAAGGGTTGGCAGAAGGCACCATGAAACCATCCTTGTGATCAAAGGCTGGCTCTCTTCTTGAGACACCAGACTAGACACAAGCATAAGTCCCAAACTGGAGCTTGACAGGCTTGTCTTCAGTCTGATGTCACCATCCTACAAATATATATGAAGTATATTAACTTCTGTGAGGTGTTCAGACGTAAGGACAATGCATGACCTCATTAGTGCCTGACTAATCAATGAAGGCTGGAAGCAGGAGGTGTGCTGCTTGCTTTGCTTGGGAGCTGCTGACACAGTAAGAAGGAAGCACATGGAAAATTCAAATGCATCTGACAAGTTGATCTTCAGTATGGCTATACCAGATTTAGTTCCTAATTTTAATAATGACTCTCTCCTAAAATCACGGCCAGCAAATGGCTGATCTTGAATTCAGCCCAAAATCAGTGGCTATTGAGAAGGAGCAGGGGCAGTGACCAGAGGGCTTGATGTTGCATTCAGATTATATTGTTAATCTGTAATCTATATACCATGCACAGGGTAGTCTGCTATTGACTATGTACTGAGTAAATAATTAAGCAGCAACTAACTGTACAGAGAAGGTGGGAAGTGCTCTTTTGTGTTATTAGCCCCTTACAGTCTTCAAAAGTGGATTATAGTCTCAGAATTTTAGGCTACGGATGGCAACCTTGTCATCAAATATAAAAAAATACCCTTGATGAGATCAGTGAAAGCTCTCCAGAGGTCTGAAGCTGGGCAGCAGACACTCTGATTAGCTGCGGCCTCCACAAAATAAAAATTCTTCCCTGAGCCCAAGAAACAGCTGATGGATACAGTCGGAAGTGATAAAAAGGTCACTCTTAAGTGTATACAAGGAGATTTAACTCACAACACCATCATCCTGAAGCCCTTACACAAATAACAAAAGACAGCCTTCAAAAACCAGAGAGTCCTTCAGTCAAAATACTTACACAAATCTTTGTCATACATCTGAGTCTTAAAGAAAATTCACCTCTGAATGAGACTGCAGAAATCTACCAAAAAGTACCCTTAGGCCCTCTGGCCCCCTATAGCAATGTGCTGTTACATCATATGATGGTGATATAGTACAAAACTGTGGAATTATTTTTGAATTATTATGTTTTGCAGCATGAATTCCTAAACCACACTGTCCAGTGCAACTATTCTGTAGCTCTTGCACAGCTCATCCATGATTATTTCATAATCATATGACAATCATATCAGATGAGGGTGGAGAAGTAATTTCCATTCTAACAGTCATACCATCTCCTAAAACTAGGTTCTTTTCTAATCAGTTGCTATTTCTAAAAGCGCCATCCAAGAAAAGTTCTGAATTTTTCAGTTGATTTTCCATACATATTCTAACATGTGGGTATTTCAAGATGAATAGAAGAAATCTCATACTTTGCCAATATATTTTAAAGTTCAGTGGAATGACCTGAGGATTAATAACCTGTCATCAATCCAGTGTAAAACACTGGACTGGCTAATTCCAGGCACTATTTATAAAGAATCAGAGAAACGTAATGCAATTCATGCCAATCAGGATGGAATTAAGGAAAATATAGTTTATTTCAAGAAAGCTATCTTGATATTTTTTTAGGTTTTAAATTTTCCAGGGGAAAAAAATCTATACTACTGATGTAATACTTATAAACTTTGGTGGCACTTTTGGCATTAAACACAATTTTGATTAAGAAACTAGAATTATCTAAAATCATCAATGTAATTTATGAATAGTTTAAAACCTGAGCAATTTACATTCTTAAAAACCCTTATAAATAAGGACTCATCATCAAGAGGATGTCAGTCAGCTCTTCAGGGTCATTTCTGGGCTCTATGTTGGGTTAGTACAAGTCAGTAATAAGTTTTCCATTATTGTTTTCTTTCAGGATTTAGTCCATCTTTATAAACACCATATTATTTTGATAGTGTATTTTTATGGAATCACTGAAAACCCACACAGCTAATGTATGAGGTCAGGACAGAGCTTCTATTGCTTAGGACATACTAAAACCAAGTCCACAGACAAATATCCTCAGATTTGCTTCACTGAAGTTTGTTAGACCACGCTGTAATAGTGTTATCCAAATCATGGATTAGGACAAAGCCAAAGAACATATGTTTGTCACATCCTGTTTGGATGACACCAGCATAGACACAAACAGAACAAGCAGATTCTGGCACAAAATCAAAGACATTTTTGTTAAACTTACAGTTGTTAAAGAACATGCCAATTATCACATGGACTGAGTAATTAAATTCTATATTTTGCTCATGAAAATATCTTTAATAGCCTTTGCAAAATGTCATTTTTGAAGACAATCTTTAAATTTGTAAGATCTGCTTTTCAGCAGAATATAGAGCAAAGATTTGATTCACAGCAGTTCAAATAACAGCTTATTTTTTTTCATTTGCAGGAAATAAGATTTTTCTACCTGCTTTATTTTAAAGCTTCTTGGGATATAAAAGCTTTCTGCTCAGTCATTAGCTGCAAATTGCAGAATGAAGCAGTACCCTACAGCATTTCCAGATGAAGTAGTCTGTTTATACAGAAAGCACAAGAGCTATAATTACTACATGATCACATTTGTATATCAAGGTCAGATTTATGTGATTCACGGTATTGTTTGGACATAAAGGGAGTTGATTTTCAGCATGGTGGTGCACAACTACTATTATTGTTATATCAGTGACTGTAGAAACAATATTAACTTTTGCTTGTTTGAGTTTTTCTAGTTGGGTTAACTACAGTTCAGGCATGTGAGAAAAATTGGCTGGTTAGCATTTGCCCTAAAATATTCATTATATATGCAAAATATGTATTTGTACTATTGCTGCCCAGGTTGCATATTCTATTAAGAAAGAAAAAAAAACCCAAACAAAACTCCAAAATAAAAAAACAAACAAAGTCATTAAATGATTTATGCATGAAATCATACAGACTTTAAGCAATATCTAATGCAGGTAATTAAACAGTGTAGAAAATATTTCCTGATATTTTCTTCTCCTCTGCAAAATCCCTGCATAAGATTCTCTTCTTGACTATTAGAAAATATATTGGCAAATTTTATATTCTGTTACTGAGAATCCATTGGCTTTCCACGCTATTTAACCAGTTTTAAAAGCTTAAAAATATAGGGATTTAAGTCACTATACTTATTAGTTAAGCATTAGAATTAGTCAAGCACTTAGACTGTACCAATTAATTCAACATAATTGTATGTATTTATAATCAGGCACAAGAAAAAATGCTTTCCTAATGGAATCAGCTACTGTATTATTGTATTGAATTTAATTGCCACCCAGCTGCCACTAATGTCAACCTGTTCTTAGTTAGACCCCCTTCTTACTTAAGCCCCAACTAGTCTTTCTCTTTTGAGGTGTAGGTGTCCCTGGGTAAAAGGCAATCATAATTCCCTGGTTTTCATTGTTCTCTATCTGTTCTGGGCTTTTACATTTCATATTCACTCCCTGCTCCCACTCATATTCTGTCACATGTAAGGATTTTATATAAACCTGATAGTTTTATCTTCACATTGCCAACTACAGTTGGGAAGCACTGGTTTTCTTTTCTTGGGGGATGAGAGATAGAGTCAAAATGCTATCTTGACACAGCCCAAATTCTACTACTGTCTTTGGGTTAAGAGTTTCATAAAAGCTGTATTTAGCCTCAAAAGACTCTTTACCCAGACAAATCACTTCCATGGGCATGAGGTTTGAGGAATTTGCCATTTGAATGGTGCCCTAATAAACTGTCCAAAGGTCACAGATTCAGTGTTGAACCCATGTGAACAAATTCATCACCTTTCCTCTCTCTAGGAGAGTCGCATATGTTTCCTTCTCAGTGTTATTTCTCACCAATCAATGATAATAAATTCCAACAACTTGATTTCTTTATGAATATTTTTCTAGATTTCTTTGATATTTCATTTATTTGCTGGTTACTGCTGTACCAAGAGGCCCAAAAATCAGTAGAAGACATAGAAAGGGAACACAATCATCCTAAACGACTGAGATCTAGCCAAAAATGCTGATAACTCTGCTTATGGCAAATGAGTAATTAAATAATATTCAGTAGCTTATCACAGCAGATATAAAGAGATTCTGTGGCTTTTTACATTTCTGAAAAATAAATTGCCATCAATTGAAAACATAATCCAATGTAAATCATAGTTACTTGTGAACTTAGGTCAGCATCCGATTCAGAAAGCAATGAGCCATTATATATATTTTATTCCTTGCTTTGATTTGAATAGTATAAACCCATGATGATGAAGGTGACTTTTTTTGCCTAAGGAGATGGATAATATAATTAAAAGAAAGAGGTGTGCTGTAAAATTAAACAATTTTAAGCAGACATGTCATCATGGGTTGAATCAGATCCAAGGTTGCTGGTGGCTATGGGTTTGCTGTAAGATGGTGGTACTCAGTTGTCTGCCAGGGGAGGTCTTTCCCAGCCCACAAAAAAAACCCAGTGCAGTGCCCAGGCCCTCTTCTAATAACTTTTTCCTGCATGTAACACAACATTCAGGCATAATGTTCTTGGTTTAAGGTAGATACTTCTCCTCTTGTTTACTTGACTTCAAATCAAAGGACTCACCTCTTCCTTACAAGCAAAGCCCATAACCATTTCCTCTCCTTTGCTGCCAAACTGGTGGCATATCTGGTAGAATCGCAGATCCTTTCCAGGCAGTATGTAAAAATCTGAAATCTGCTGGTTAAAGAGCTGTCTAGCCCTTCTAATAACAAAAAGCTCTTGACAACATCACTTGAAAGTACCCTAAAGGCTCAGAAACAGAAGGGGAAAAATGAGATAGTAACATCCCATCCAAAAATTCTTATGTTGCAATTTTTAATTGAATCTCATGTGTCTTGGAGACAGGGATTATTCCATGTTATTTTTAATGTTAAGGATTGGCAAACCTCCAGACCCACATGACATATCTGGAAACACAAAACAAACAGGACAAACCCCATAAACAAACTACAGCAGTCTCTGGGGAAATAGGTCAACAGGCCTAACCAGACTTCTCTTAGATAGAAGTTTAAAAAAAGACTTACAGAGGAGAAGATGTGCTTTTCCTCATGGAATCAAGGAATCAAGTGGCATGCTCAAATGAAAATGGGCAGACTGGTCAAGCAAAGGGTGTGATCTGGGGACGGCCTCCCATTCCCCTGCTGCCTTAGCTCCTCTGTTTGATCCCAATCTCATCCTTAAGGGTCCTTGTCACGTCTCTCATTCTGCCAGCTTACCCAGTCCACATCTCTCTGTCTCACGTGGCTTGTCCCAGACTCCTGGCTTTATCATCTTGTGGCAATGTCTTCTGTGTAGCATTCTCCTTCCCAGCACCAATATCCTGTCAATCTTTTTCTGCCTTGTCCCTTTGGACCAAACATGGAGATTGGCCCAGAAGGGCTCAAAGTGAAAGGTATGTGCTAGTCCTGCCTACCTGTCTGAGGCTCTGCAGCATCTCTAACCCCTTCCTTCCCCTAGAGCAACACAATGCTTAAACTGGAAAGAGTACACAATATAATGGCAGAGAAGTCTGATGAAAAACTGCAAGACCACTTTTCCATGGCATGCTATGACTGTCCCCCCACACCCTCTTTCCCTCTCTTACACGCAGGATTGCTCCCCGTCAGAACACTTCTTGCTCCCAGTCTCTTTATCCTTCAAGTCTTATCTCCATCTTCCAAAAAAGATAAGTCTGGTGCATACACCTGACATGGGAATTTTCAGCCTGAATGGTTAGACTGAAGTTATATCAGAAAACAGGGTCTTCTGAAGTGTCAGACAACTTGGACAGATGATGTTAACAGCGCTGCACTCAGTGCAGCTGAGTGAGTAGTTGCCACATTGAGTTAGACAGAGAGTTTTCCCAGCCAGCTAAATGAAGCTCTCCTGTGGCAATTTTTAACAAGGTGTTATTTTTCAGGGGATTTCTAATGGATCTCTTTACCACAATGAAATTCAAAATATCCAATTCAGTGATCAAATAATGTACAATAAACTGCCATCACTGAAGGATTAACAGACATTGTTTCATACTGACTGTTTGAGTAAGTGACCTTGTCAGTCCCATAGTTTGGTCAGTTTTACTTCCTTGATCTTTTCTCCTCATCTAGGTAAGTTTCTGGTCGTGACAGATGAGACATGAGATCTTCAGCATCCAGGCTTTCAAGCTTTTCTTCAAGAGATTCACTATGGAATCGGTAAGAGAGACAAAAGACATAAATATAAATAACCAGGTTAAAGAGTAAAAAGCAGATCACAGAATCTATGAAAAATAAACCCAAAAGACATTGGTTTTATCAATTTTAATACCTGCAAGTGGGTTTTTTTCTCTGCTTAATGCTACTTTGGACATTACTACAGTGGGTGTTTCTCAGAAAAAGTCTAAACTATCGATCCTTCCAAAGATCAAAAATTCCAAAAACTTAGTAAATCCTTACAAAACACTGATCACCTGAGCACATACTGAAACAAACACATTTATTAGATATTTTGCTTTTCTGTAATAGTTTCAGAGCTGGATAAGGGGCACAGGGAATAAAAAGGACCTTCTTTTCAACTCATCTAGATCTGGTAACTGATGTTGTTTTAACTTTGAAAATAACAAATCTCTGAGATCAGCCTGAAAAATCTAAGGCAAGATTTGTGCGGGGGCTTGAAAAGAGAAGGGACTCTCTTTGCGTGATGTAAAGTGCTGAACAGCACACAGTTGTCTAAATATGCTTTTGTTTATTCAGTCTCTGGATGGTGAGTGCTCTTGTTTTAAAGTTTTCACTGTGTTTCACTGAACCACTAAAAGTTACATTTGGATTGCCTGGCTTGAACCACAGCACTGATGGTTAAGGCTGCAGTGTTCTCTGTACCTGGGGCAGTGGCTGGAGCTGCCCTGGCACAGGTCACTGCTCCCTGTGACCATTGCAACGCTGTGGGACTTTCATCTTTTCTTCCTCCCTGGGGGAATTAGTTGACCATATTGCACTCCAGACCAGCCAAGAGGGTGAATCACTGCTGTTGATCTTCTGAAAACTGAATAAATCCTCCTTTGGTGCATTTGCTTTGTCACATGGCTACACATATTTTTCCCTTTTAAGTCCACGATGTCTTAAATAAGCAAGAGTTCAGAAGTCAATCATCTTTGAAAAAGTATGAAGCTCTTAAGCTGGACATTCTTATTTGATTTTGAAACAGCACTTACATTTCTATGTCCTACTGCTCCTAGATTTTCTTGGAGAAATAAAACACAACCACCAACAAGAAAATAAGTAGTGCTAAGTTCCCTGAAATTAATTAAACCCAGTTTCATTTCATATTTTTGTCATGACTGCAGTTCCTGAGGAGGTGTAAACCATGACTGAAACTTTTCCCATTACTGGGACACTTAGAGGATCTTTCTCCCACACTGATCATCTTGATAAAGATGATAAAGACCAGGGTTATGGGGAGCCTTTCCTATCCATGGAGGCATGAAACATCTTTTTCTTCTGCTAATTTCTATTTTCCCATAACACTTTTAAGAACTGAAGGATTATGACATTTTTTCTGCCCCCCTTTCAAATCTTCTGGGATGAGCATTGACTTAAACAAATCCTTAGAGGCAGGACAGGTGAGTAGATGTTCACTCTCGACAAGAGAGTCAGTTAATTTAGGAAGATGCAAGCTCACATTCAGTGGTTAAAAGTAGAAGCAAATGAGTAATCAGAGAAAAGAGCTGCTGTGGTGAACTTCGAGACTGAAATTCTGTACTTCTTTATTTCATTTAGCACCACATAAACATTGACCCAACAGAGATTTGGTTCACACAGTAAGACTAGTTTCCAAAAGCTTCCATATGGTTATCTGCCATCCTGAGTTTTAACAGAACCTCACAACTTCAACATTCAAACATCTACAGTAAAAAAACATGCAGACCATAATTTTAAATATGAGTAATTTTTGCTTGAGCATTAAAGCAGATATGCCTCAAATTATTTCAGGTCTCCTGTATTGTTAAACATATTGATCCACCAAATAAAGCAAACAAATAAATAAAAAAACCCAAACAAAATAAAATCCCACCAAAAACCAAAAGGCATTGAAAATTTCCTATGCTACGTTTAAGTCCAGAGTATGGCCAAGTGATGCATCATTGAAAATAGTAGCTTATATGAGGGAAATGCAGATGTGCCAGTAAGTTCAGGGTTTGCAAGGACCTTTTTTATAACATCCAGCATCTGCATATTTATTTCCAGCATCTCTCCAACAAGATGCTATTTAGGAAATTAAGAAATGAAGTATGCTCACTCAACATTATAAGCCCGCATTTGAACTTCAACTCAGTAGGTGCACTTCATGTCTGCAAACTATGTCTGAACAAAGCTTGAGTAAAGGCACAAATGAGTTCTCTGCCTCTGTTTAGGGTCTTAGTCCCTCTTCTTCCACAAAGTACTGATTTTATGCTAATAAAATCATAATACAGAGGGGGAAATCCATCACAAAAACAGATCTTTCTGCTTTATATTCTTACATCATGACCACCTATCAGAAAGAAACCCTTTAATTTACCTGCCAAACCTTTTTGTCTATCTAATAAAATGCTGAAAAAATTGTTTGGTCTGGGAGCCCATCTCATCTTTCAGCTAGTTTTTGAAACTCTTACAATTAAATGTATAGTAAAAAATACTTAGTTCTGATATAGCAGTACTCGGCTGTAAAAGCCCAGTGTGCTTTCACCTAGAAAAATAAATGTGATTGTCTGCATTCCACAGATAGAGAAACGATGCACACAGAGATCAAATGCCACGTTGGAGCCATGAATGGCACCCCAAGGACATGACCCCAGGTGTACAGAGCCTTCATTTCACTTTCAAACTACTTCCCAGGTTCCTTTTGGTCTGAACCTCCATTTTCACTGCAGGCAAAACGCATGCTGCCATCAGCATACATTTAGCTGCTTAGGTAGAACCAGAGATGTGCCTGGTAATGACACAGCCACATCGTTTCCAGAGGGAAAGAGAAAATATTGAAATGTTTGCAATGTGGGTTGAGGCTTTATTTCATTCCCTTTTTATTTTGGAGAGCCTGCTATGCCAGCTGCCCTGCAACATGTTCATTTCTGCAGTTTCACTCTCCGATTTTAGTCATTGCTATTTCTCATATTAAAAAAAAAAAAAAAAAAAAGCATCCAGCTACTATGATTCCTGCTTTGTTTTCCTCTTGTTTCAGTCAGAGTACCCTTTCATGATATATTGGCTTCATCTTGTCCTTTGCAATCCCACTGACCTGGCCTGCTCTCATGCCAACGTGCCTGCAGTGCCCTTCCAACAATCCTCCAAGGATTCGCTCAGGGTCAGGAATGCAAGGATAACCACTGACAGGTTTCCCTGTGCTGGTCCTCAACCTCACCAAAGCAGTGATGGTGGGAACTGCTGGGAGAGCAGCTCCCAGGGGTAAGCAGTTCTGAAATGACCATCTCTGTGAGCAAAGAGCAGGCTCCCATTCACACCGTGGGCAAGGGTTAAACTTTCCAGTGGCTCCACTGACAGTTTTCTTATCCATCAGCGTTCATAAGAGTTTGGTAACTTTGGGCTGTCCAATCTCCAGACTGAACAAACCAAGTGACCTCAGCCACTCCTTGTATGGCTTCTCATATGCAGTATTACACTTCCTACAAACTGACGTAAGGTTTCTTAAATGAGCAACTCTAACAAAAAGCTACTGTAAAACAGAAATACCAAATTCAGTACACCTGTAACAAGCAAAAGAACACTCCTTCCCTGTCCTGAGCCTGCTCCCTCTTGCCACAGGTGAGCATTTTCCTGTTTCCTCTTTGGAGGATGCAGAGGTTGCAGGGGAAAAGCCCATTGCTTATTGATGGTATTGTGATTGTTAGCCTGGAATGCCATTACCCGTTTGTCTGCATGACTCTTGATCTTGCATGACAAAACCAAAAAACAAAGGCAAAACTGAATCAGCAGATTAGTCAGCTTAATCTTGTGTAACTCAACGCTGCACTTCATTTTCAGTGCTGTTATTTTCAGCTGCCCTTTGAGATCGCTCTTTGAGCTTACTTATCATTCAGCCAAGCTGCTCACCCAGGACATTCAAGTAAGTAAGATGGAAAACATATCACTCAGCAGAATACTTCTGATGTTGTGATTTAATCTTTTTCATTTGGTACACATAGTGTTAAAATTGCAAGATCTTAATGTTACCAAAATGTCATTTATAATGAGAACACAATGAGTTCTCTTTTTGCTATCATATTAATATTGAAAGAATGCAAAAAGAACCTTCTGTTTAGGCCACTATTGTTAATGCTAAAAGGCTTTTAAACTAATACTGTAGTTTCTGAGACAGTTGCTTATGTTTTCGTATCTCATTTTAAATACCAAATGAAGAGAACTGCTCAGAGATGCCAGTATTAAAATTGAAATCAGCTGATCCTTGTACTGAAAACAGTCACAGCAGCAACACAAATTGTTGATGCAGCTCATGTAGTCCATAAACTGTATTGGTAGATACTGTCACCTAAACCCACAGAATTGCAATCAGCATGTTTCCTGAGCCTGGATTTTGGTTTTCCGCATGTACACCAATATGATACAGACAAGAACAGTTTCCTTTGACTGGAAAATTACCTGACTGTTCTGTCCCAGCAACACAATCATTTCAAGGATTTGTTTGCAAATGTCAAAGCCAACAGCCTTCTTTCTCAAGCAGAAACACTCTGCAGTTTACCATATAAGTTACCTTCAAGCAAATTAGTACCCATCACAATGTGTGATGTAGGCTTCAATGTTTAAAATAGGTTTTGCCTTTTCCTGTGAGTACATCGTGCACTTATGTGATATTAAACGTGTAAACATGCTGCAGGTTAAAATATGTAGTTGTTACATTTTCTGCAAGGCTCACTCAGCTGTTGGGGCCGTCCTCTGAGAGGACACAGCTCCTGGAGGTGAAACGCCTCCTGACTAAACATTTCCCACTGAAGTACAAAGTGATGATGCTGCATGTCCTTACATAAATGGGGTGGTTTTGTTTTTCAAAACAAAACTATGGGAGTTCCATTAACAAAAAAAGTTTACTGAGTTTTAGCAAATGAGATACTCCAAAACCAAAAGCAAAACTCAGCCTGCTGAGATTCTTGTTGATTTGAAGCTTCTTTTATTCTCTAAGCCCAACATCCAACTCAAACAGCTGATAATCAGAAATATTTGTGGATATTCTAGTACTTATGGCCATAAACTCATATAAGCCTTTCCTACTAATTTTGTCAGAAGTTATCTGAAAATAATATAAAAATACAGCAACAGCAATCTACCATATAGACATTTTCTTGGGGAATCTCAAACCAGTTTTATGGGGTATTAAATGCCACAGCTGTCTTATGTCATACAGTAATCTCATACAGTGAGTTAGGATCAGGAGGAGGATGGGAAGTAACGCTGACTACTGTGTTTAGCTGAAATGGATAAATCTAACACCAAACCACAAATGTATTCAGGATAGCAGTATAGTAGAGAAACATAGCCTAAGGATATTTTCCTGATGAGTTTTAACACACCACTAGTTCTGTCGCTATTTGCTGCTGAGCTGGTGACACTCTCCATGTTGGTGAAGATGTTAAAGAGCATAAAAAGAACAACTATGTAGTTTACTAACAAAAGCATGTGAATTTCAATGATTTTATGTTTTAATTAAACACTAATGTCTAATCTACACCATTTTTATCAGCAGTAACAATCAAGATGGGAACCTTGAGAGCAAAGAAAAGAGTGTAGATGTAAACCCCTATTTGCAAAGTGGAATTATCTCGTTCATACTTGACAATCAAAAAACCCCAAATTTGACATGTGAGATCCCGGCATGACTATGCCTGTACTAAGCAAAAGGAGTTATCTGCACAGTAGCCTTGTGCATAGTGATTTCCTTCTCCAGCTAACAACTCCCTTCAGCACCACGCTGACAGGCTGCAAATGGCCCTGGAGGCAGCTTGTCTGAGCATGCTTGATGGCAGGGTTTGGTGCACAGCCAGGAACTTGGGTCAAGCTTGTTTACAAAAGCCAAGCAGCAGCCACACCTTCGTGGTTTGTACCTGTGAGCCTGCTTCCTATGCAGCAGGGAAATGTGACCTCAGGGTGGTCCTGGGGCTGCTCTCTGCGGGCAGCATAAGCATATCCCACAGGAGATCCGCCACCAGCTTCAGCCCAGATGAGGTGTTGATATCCTGAAGAGCTGACTTTGCATGACTAAAGCTTGACAGCCACAAACACAGAAGGGCCACAGGCTCCTCTATCTGGCTCCTTATCTGTAGTGGAAAGATAATCTTGTTCTCTACCTCACCACTGTGTGGTTTCAACAGTTAATTGCACTGATGATGTGAAGAGCTGTGCAAGTGCCATGTAGCTCTTCACCTCTAGCACCTTTTGGTCATGCTGCAAAGTTTGCAATGATGACAACAGTCATCATCACCTGATGACTCCTGCTCAGGTCTTGTGAATGAACTGATGATCTCAATCTAAATATAAGCTGTCTAGAGGTCTATAAAATGAAATATACTACACCTGCTATTCAATTTATTGCACAACACCTGTGCTAGCAGTTTGTACTCTCATTGCTATGTTCCTTAGCCTCTCCCTAAACATTGCGACTATCACCAACACTGCAGAATTATTATCAATTTGCTGTAATTAACTCTCCTGTGGCAATCAAAGTACAAAAAGCCGGGGAATTAAATGGATTTGTAGACTGAAACATCGGGTGGGATGGCAAGACAGCACAGGTTCCTTGACTGCAATGCATCAGCAGTAAGGTGTGTGCTTTCCAGTGCTGTTTCCATGATCCTCACCAGCACTAGCTTGTCCCAGGATGGACACAGAGATGCATTTCACTTCAGAATACCAAGGGGAGTGAGATAAGCATTACTTCATTGGCAAGCCTTCCATGAGAAAAAGGCTGCAGCACAGCCTCCCCCAGGATCTAGCACAGACTAAGATAGCGTTAGAGCAGACGCTGTGAAATATAACTTTCACACCCTGATGATTATTCTTTGACATTTGTGAAGTGAAACAGTGATTTCAGTTAGTGACAATTTAGAGAGAAGTGCATCCTACAAATTTAGAATTGCATCTCAGATACTGATCGCAATTCAAAACAGGAAATATGGTTAAATCTGAAATCCACTAAACGTTATCTGAAATACTTACATAATTTGACTACTTTAAACCTAAGCACATTTTTATAGGCAGCTTGTATAATTTACTTTTATTAACATCACATAATTAACTAATCTTGCTTCCAGTGAGTTTAAGTGAAGATAATCCAAGCCTAAAGAGGTCATGCCCACAGGGCTATTTTCTCTACTAACATTTGTATAGGGGAAGGGAAATGATGCTTCTGTGCAGCAAAACAGCACCATGTTCTCTTTGACAGTTAACAATTTCAGAACTGTCAAAAAAAAAAAAAAAAGGCAATTATGATTGGTAGCTACTGATCTTCCTTTTTTCTTTAGGCCTTGTGCTGTTCTCTTTATTTACCAGTATTCTTCTGTATTCATTCTCCTCTTTATATATTTAATATTTCATTTCAAAAGATAACTTTTTTCTCTGATGAGGTAACACAGAAGCTCAGCTGCCGTTACTCTCTACTCAGCTTTCACTTCTGTCACTCTTCACTGCTCCAATTTCCCTGGCCTGCCTACTCCCCTTCTTAGTTGAACACGCTCCTAATTTCTGCAGTTTAAATTTTCTCAAAATAGTATTGAAGAAATTACATCTTTAGCAGTATGTCCAGCTTCTGTCTGCACTCCCTCGGGTAGGATTTGTTTGGGATAGCACATAAGGTTATTTTACAGTCCAGAGACCAGTGCTCAAACTCAATAACTTCAGCCTAAAGAGGAATAGTTCAACCTTAACAGTGAGAGTACCCAATTAATTAAACCAGTTAGCCCATCAGTGCAATGGATTTATCCTCACTTGATATCTGCTAGAGAGGGATCAGGACCTTTCCTATCATGAACACCATGTCTGACAAGCAGACCACAGGTCTGGCCCAGGAACAGCTGTGTGACAGCCCATGACTGATGTTCTGCAGGAAATTACAAGGGATGACCACAGAGACCCTGTTTGGCCCTCAGGCCCTATCCCAGTCCCTCACCCATCTAGTTTCCAAGCAGGCTGGGCATGCCAAAACAGCTCTTTTTGATGCTACCAACTGCTCTTCCCTGGCCCAACCCCCCAGCCAGTTCTTCACTCTCTATAATGCTTTTGATGCCACCAGCCATTTTTATCTTCTTAATCTCTCTTCCTCCTCCACTGCTCTTACGAACACGATCCTCAACTGATTTTCTTCCTTCCCCTCCAGCCACTTATTCAGTGCTTCAGGTTTTTTTTTTTTTCCCCAAATCCATTTTTCAGTGCAACTCCCACACAGTTCTTTTCTTGGCTTCCTCCTCCTCTTGCCTACTCTACCTTGCAGAGTCTCATGATGTTTAACAATCATCTGTACGAGCTCCGAGCCTTTGTGCCAGAAAGCTGGATCACGTGAAGCAGCAGCAGCAGCAGCAATCACATGGCCATATGGAGGGCTTCTGCTAAGGCAATGAAATCAAAGAAACATGTTCAGGCAGGACCATTTCTCAGCAGTATTGGTCATATTTTTTCTGGCAGAACTGCATACAAATCATTTTTTATGGGTATACACAAATCAGGTATCTCCTTTTTATGCTTACTCAGGCATTGCAGTCTTCAGTTGATACTGTCAACTATTTTTGAGTTGTACAGTCATTTTATTAAAATTGCATACAAAACCATGTAAAAGCCTAAGTGCATTATAATGCAGTAGGTCCTTATACAGATAATATAAAAACTTTTGAAATAGATATAGCCATATAATATTGCTCACTTTCAGTTGTTCAGACTTGAGTATATTTCCCATTCCTGAATGGCCGAGCTTATGCGAAGAGAATCACAAAGAGTAGGAAATCACATAGCATGGCTAAATAAATCACACTGATACAGCAGATGACCATAATTACCTGAGCCTCCTGAGACTAAGCCTTCTTTAGAAAGGAACATATGGGTCCCAAAACCTTAGCTTAAAAAAAAAAAAATATCATTAGAGCTGTCTGTCAGTTCCCTGAGTTACATGACACAGTGATGGAAAAAAAGGATATGTTAACTTATTCAGAAATAGTGCTTTGGAGGGGACTCAGGTCTGCCACCCCCGCGGTTCAGGTCTCGGGGCAGCGCTGCCATCGCAGCAGAGACAGAGCCCTCGCTCTGGGAAGGCTCAGGTAATACATAATCGGCCACGGCAGCTTCTCTGAGACACAGGAGGACTTCTTAAAAATTAACGAAGTGTGAGGGGGGTAAAAACCTACACAGCCAGGCTGCGGAATGGGACGGCTCTGTCAGCGGGGGCTGCACACCCCCGGTTTTGCATCACCGGTGGATGGGGCTCCGACCGGCCGTGACGGACTTAAGGAAGATGAAAAAGAAACAGCCCCTCAGGCTCGCCCCGGGGGTTCCCTGGACCGCGGGGCGGCCACACGGTCCCTCCGCGCTGCCACACGGCACGGGAAGCCCATTCCCCCCGGCTGGCGACAGCGCAGGGCCCCAGCACTCCGCGACCTTGCCTTCTTTCACCCCCCAAAAAAAACCCCCCTTTTCTATCGTAAGAAAACGGAAAATCCACACCAACCCCCTCCCCCGGCCCCGCCGTGAGAGAAGAGGGGCCGAGGCCGGGGAGGGGCGGCCGCGCGTGCGCGGAGCCGCTTCCTCGTTGTCCCCCGGCCGCGGCGGCGGCGGCGGCGCGCGGCGCGTGCCCGCGAGCCGTGCCCGTCAGCGGGGCCGCGCCCGCCCCGGAGCCGCCCAGCCCGGCCCGGCCCCGCCTCTGCCCGGCCGGGGGGCGCTGCCCGAGCCCGCACAAGTCAGTGATCCGCTCGGGCGGGAGCCGCGGCCGAGCCCGGGGCCGGGGGGGGGGCGTGGGGGAACTCGGCGCGGGTGGGGAAAGGGGCTGAGCTCCGGCGCGGTCGCCGCTCCCCTTTCCCGCCGCCCTCCCCGCAGCGCCGCGGCGGGGCCGGGCCGGGCTGGGCGCTGAGGGGCGGCGGGAGCGCTCCCCACCGGCGGGGCCGAGCGAGGGGCGCCGTGCGGGGGCCTCTCCCCCTTCACCTCCTGCCCGGAGGAGGAGGGGGCGGCCGGGGAGCTGCTGGGTGCGGAGGGAGAAGCCTCAGCCTCCCTGTGCGGCTCCGCTGCTTTGATGCTGCGGGTCTCTGCTGGCTGTTAACATCTTCTTCCCTCTGCTTGCCTCCCCCCCCCCCCCCCCCCCCCCCCCCACGTTTTCTTTCCTCCCTCCCCGCCCCCTTCGAAACTTGGCTTCTCCTCGCTCCGGATCTGTGTGCTCGGCTCCTCCTGGGCTTTACCGGTGGGGCAGGATCATGCCGGACCAGATCACCGTGTCGGAGTTCATCGCCGAGACCACAGAGGATTACAACTCCCCGACCACCTCCAGCTTCACCACCCGGCTGCAGAACTGCAGGAACACGGTCACGCTGCTGGAAGAGGTAAATCATACACACTCACACCCTCCATTCCCTTTTTATTTTCCTTTTTTCTTTCTTTCTTTTTTTTTTTTTTTTCTTTTTCCCCTCTCTTGTCTTCGAGAGAGCATCAGGGACGGGGCAGCACCACCCGCCCAAATCCACGGGAGCCAGAGGCGTTGGTATGCATGTAATCTGGTCTTTTAATTGTGGGACTTTGCTCTTGTGTTGAGCTAGTTACAGAAAGCTTTCCTGCTCTGGCGTCTCGAAGATTAGTGCGTAAAGCAGTTGTCTGAACTTAAATATCGCTGTGGTACTTCTTGGTGTTTTCGGTGTTGTCGGTCGTTGCAGTAGTAAAAAATGCATGAATGCTGGTATTTTTAGAGGGAATATGAGGGATGAGTTTTGTTTGAGAGCGTTAATAGAGGTTTTCCCCGGCCCCTCATTACATCAAGTCAGCGCAGAACTCTGACTGCAGAAATCTGCCAAGGGAGACTTGGTTTACGAAATGAAGTAAGGATGAAGGGATGAATGTGGAGTGAGGGAAATAATATGAAAACAAAATTGGTGGAAGGAGAGGAGCATAATAGTGCAGCAGAAGTGATTACACAGTCTCAGCATCTCAACCTTGAAGCCTCAGTGTTGGGGTTTTTTCATGCTTGTTATGAGCGTTATTTGAATGTTATTCAAATGTTCACCCTGCTTTGCTGTCAAGAAATAGGAGTGTGAAAACGGATAAACTTTCAGAGCTGGTTTCTAAGGGATATCAGTCTACTGCTTCCTATTTGAGGTTTCAGTGTGATTTCCTATGGACTAGGTCAGCAGTTATGAGGAAATGTCTTCCAAATGACTTTAAAACAAGACACTGTATAGCTCTTCTCTTACCCTGGGCTTGCTTGAAGGTACAAGCATAATGACACTGGAGGAAGACAGTTTTTTGCTATTTTTGCATAGGTTGCAGTTAGTTGTTGCTTTGGATTATACACTTAGTTCATCAAGTATTTGTCAATTCTTCAGGAGCCAGAGCGTATCTAGGAGATGGATTTAACAAGTCTTAGTTTTGCTGAATGTGTTGGCATGAGCAAAACATTTGGTATGCAAAGAAAGTGTATTAATTATTTAATTATGGTGTTTGCCTGATAATCCTGGGTATGGAAAATATAATTCCATTGGATTAAGATCAGTTAAAGTTGCCTTAGAAAAAATGTCTGTGTTCAAAATTGTACCAGTGCTACTGTTTACATTACTGGCTTGAGTTATTTTAAGTTCACATTTAAAATTATATATTTTATTTTTATTATATAACCTAGGTTAACTTCTGCTGCTTTTCCATAACTGTAGCTGTTTTGTTCTTCTTTTCCTCTTGTAACTAAGCCGTGCTTATAGATTTGCCAGAAATCAACCTGTTAGGTTTGTGTTTGACAGTATTGCTGCCCCCTGGTCTTAACTATGTGGAATAGGTATAGCCATTGATATGCTTATTAGTACAGTTGACAGCAACCGTAGAGTTAAAAATACATATTTTGTCATCACTTGTAACTCCCAGGGTAAGGATACAGTGTAACGATTTCATGATTTGGGAGATGCATCAGAACAGGCTGAATGTGGTAATGCCTGTCCAAAGAAAACCAAAATACTGAAGATAAATACACAGCGTTCTGCACTATTTGTGTGGATCGTGCATATTTTCAAAGTTTTTATGTCTGATTTGACAGCAGTAAATCAGAGGAATAAAGAATAGCAGGTGCTTCTGGTGCTTGCGTTGCTATTTCTTTATTTTCTTTTGTTTGTATAACTGTTTTATGTGCTCTGTTTAACTTGTTTGCAGTTTAGACTGATTCTGGGCTTGTCTTCTGTAATTTTTTTATTATCTGTAAATATAAAAAAAGCTTCATTTGATGGGAAACAAGATGCAAATAAGCTCTACTGTTATGTGCGCAAAAAAATCTGCAACTCTCCTAAATTTGTGCTTATTAATTTGCATGGAGAAATACAGATGGTCAGGATGTGGCAGGCGAAGTGCTCCTTTGGAGCCTTTGTATATGCAAGCTACAATTACAATAAAGGCACAGTTTTGCTGCTGCTTTCAGGCTGGGCTGATTTCTGTGCACCTGCTTACCTAAGGCAGTGGGTGCTCTGAAACAGGGGCTGGAAAATGAGTGGTTGAAGTGGGTGTTCTGTAGCTGCTGCTGCTGTTGTCCATGCATAAGGGGTGACTGAAGAATTTCAAGCAGCGCCCGAACTTCAATTTTGAGCCTTCTGTGTTAAGGCAAAGGGGATGATTCCATCCTTGCAACTGTTTGATTTTTAACTGAGTGTTGCATCTAGGTTGGAGCTCTCACTGGGTTTTTGCAGGCAGTGTCAGGCTCTGTGCTGTTGTGGCGCTGCTGCCTGAAGTATCTTAGGTCATTATTTTACAGCTAATTTAATTCAACACAACTTCCACCTTACATCAGTGACTATAAGCTAGTTTGTGGATAAACTAATTAGTTTCTTTATTCTAAACAAGATTGCAAACGAGAACTATTTTCTGAACAAAAATGGCAGGGGAATTAAACAGATTTAACAAAAGTTAGATATGTTTTCCAGCCTCTCAGTTTGATGTGATTCCTACCATAGCTCATATCAGTGGTTAGATCAGAACCACCTTTGCATAAACTACTGTGATTAAAAGAAATAGATGGTTTTGTGTATGTGTGTGCCTCTGTCTAGTTCCCTGAAGTTATTACAAAATTGTGACCTTAATCACAATTAACAAGTTTTCTGAAATAATAAAATAGGTGATAGACTCATTTGCTGATTTTCTCACTTGCTTGCCTATCAGTAGAAGGGCAGTCTGTTCAGCTGACTGAATTGGTATATATTATCTCCTAGCTGTGATTTTTTTTTCCCTGTTATAATTAATTTCTTTTCAGAGGAGATTTTGGATCCTGTTAGATGCAATTCTGGGACAAGTTTCAGCTGACAGGCTTACATGTTTTCAGCAGACATGTTTACTGATTCCGATGACTTTGCATTTGATCAGTTTTCAGTGGAAAGCCCAACAAAATACAAAGGCAAACTTTATTTAAGTCTGCTGTAATAGTATCAAGAAAGGTAGTAAGAACATGCTACTACGTAGCAGTTTATTGAATAGGAAGGTTTCATGCTATATTGTTTAAAATACTGAAACTTCCAAATATTTGCAAGTTTTTTTCCTTTCAAGGGACAAAGCTAAAAAAAAAAAAAAGACCCTACCATCTTTGCAGCCAGGCTTAGGCATCTTATATAGTAGTTACCAAAAACTGAAATATTTTTTTCTTTATGATATTTTTCTTTTTAAAACGGGAGTGTTATGTAATTGCCTCAGGTAAACACAAATTTTAAGGTACATTCTATTGCTAAAATAAGAGGACTGTTTTTCAAAGTTATAGAGGGAGAAACAAGCCATTACAGTGTAGTCAAAGTCTAATTTGAGAGAATTTGCAATCTCTACTGCTTTCTGTTGATTCCTTCAAGATAATGTTAAGTTCTTGCAAAAAAAAAAAAAAAAAAAAAAAAAAAAAAAAAAAAAAAAAAAAAAAAAAAAAAAAAAAAGAAGTATTTTTCTTTTTGCAACTGGGAAAAGTTTTATGTAATGGAACACCTTTCCTCTTTAGAGAGGCTGAGAGAGTTGAGTTGTTCAGCCTGGAGAAGAGAAGGTTCCAGGGTAACCTTAGAGCAACCTCCCAGTGCCTTAAGGGGGTTACAAGAGAGCTGGAGAGGGACGTTTTACAAGAGCATGGAGTGATAGGACAAGGAGGAATGACTTTAAACTGAATTAGATACAGGGAAGAAATTATTTATTGTGAGAGAATCATAGAATCATAGAATAGATTGGGTTGGAAAAGACCTCCAAGATCATCAAGTCCAACCCCTGATCCAACTCCAATTACTATATCATGGCACTA